AACTCGAATGGTTGAATGATCAAGTTCACCTAATGTATCTATTAATGGAAATTGTTTCTTTTCTTGTGCTTGTACTCATTTTATAGTAAAATCTAAATGTTCATTTTATGTTTTGACTTGACCTATGATTAAACATGCCCATATACATTTGGGACGAGTTTTTTTCATATTTCTGATCTGGATCAATTGTTTGGATTTTCAGATACATGGTATAAGATGTAGGATATGATGAATTAGAACCATTTAGGCATTTATACTGTCCTTTTCAATTGATAAATAATCATTGAAAGAACAGAAGTTTGTTTTCTGGGCATATCATATGTACTTCAGTATGCTTATCAGTTCTGATTTTTCATCTTATGCTCTGTCATTGATTTCAGATGGAAAGTATTAAGTGTCAGATACTATATCCGATTATTCTGTGTTTGCTTCTGATTAGCTCAAATCCATTAGTATGACTGCTTTACTAAATTTGCACTCCTATGTGGTGTGTTTTCTTTTCCTTCCTTAACGTATCACATTTATCATATTGAGGCACTTTGGCCTAATTTTATGGATTTACAATTTGTCATCCACAAGTTTGAACTATCTTTTTTTCTGAAGTTTGAATCTCATTAAGTACATTGTAGTCCTTAAATCAATAGTAGTTTTATATTAGTATGACTGATATGGTAATGCTTATTGGGTAATTTAATTTAAGGTTGAACATCATGCGATGTTTGTAGTTTTTAAGAAGTGACCCTTCTGTTTCATATTAATGGTCTAATAATCTGTGGCAGAGAGAACAAAAATTTGACTGGGACAGCAAGGTATGCAAGTGTGAACACACACCTTGGCATAGGTATATTCAGAAGATTGTCTGATTACCTTTTTCTTTATTTTGATACAAATCTGCTTATGCAGATTGATTAACTGTTATTTTTCTTGACTGTTCTACTCGTATCTCCTATATCTTTAAAATGATTGATTCTTTGGTTTTTCCATCTTGATTGTGTGTGTTGTTTTTCTTCTTTTAAGAACAAAGCCGGAGAGACGATTTGGAATCTCTTGGATATGTTCTTATGTACTTCTTAAGGGGGAGGTATGTTCATGTGGTGGAACCTTTCCCCTCCTCTCTTGGTTTTTTTTGACATGTTTAACTTTTTTGTTGTTGTTTTTTTAAGTCTTCCATGGCAGGGTCTAAAAGCAGGAACCAAGAAGCAGAAGTATGAAAAAATCAGTGAAAAGAAAGTTGCCACATCAATTGAGGTATTCTTATACTTTCATTACGACTTTGAGTTTTTTTGTCTTTTCGCCATCGTTATGATAATGGAAAAATGTATTTGTACCCTTAGGCTTTATGCAGGGGATATCCTTCAGAGTTTGCGTCATACTTCCATTATTGCCGTTCACTACGATTCGAGGACAAGCCTGATTATGCATATCTTAAGAGACTGTTCCGCGATCTTTTTATCCGTGAAGGTTGATTTTTTTTCTCATATTTGTCAAATCTCAAATTTTGGGTTTCATGATTAATCAAGATGCAGAATTTGCATGTTGAGTATAATGGGCATCATCTCTATTATCTGTCCTCTGCAGGTTTTCAGTTTGATTATATATTTGATTGGACTATTTTGAAGATTCAGCAATCACAGATAGCTGGTGCTCCTCCCCGTGCTATTGTTAGTCAAATGCAGGAATTCTTTTGTTATTATATATAATATATATACATTTACATACATTTGCTGAACAAGTCAATAACCTTCTCAACTATTTCCTAGGGTCCGAGTGTAGGTCCTAGCTCTGGCCTGACACCTCCCATCGCCAATGATAAGCAGTCAGGTGATCCTCTCTCTCTCTCTCTCTCTCTCTCTCTCTCTCTCTCTCTCTCGCTATATATATATATATATATATATATATATGCCCTGCACCCCACCCACACACAAAGAACACCATTATTGTCATTATATCCTATATCTGCTGACTTTGATATTGACAATTGACTCCATTTCTTCGTGTCTATCTTTGTGTTGATTATTATATTCATGTTGCATGACTCGCAAAAGCACATAGTTTCTGATCTATTACTTATGCTTGCACGTTATAAAGAATTTGCATATTCTATTTTCATAATTTGGAGGGATATACTTTTCAAAATTGCCTTTCAGGTGGTGAGGAAGGGCGGGCAAGTGGTTGGTTGGCGATGGACCCATCTCGCCGTGGACGAATTACACCTCCATCTGTAAATGTAGGCAGCTTATCAAAGCAAAAAGCCCCTGTGGGGAATGATCCATCTGTCAATAGAGATGCAATGGTAATTTTGTTGTTCCTTATCTTTCTCTCTCTCTCTCTCTCTCTCTCTTTTATCCTCCATTCTCTTTTATATGCATGTTTATGGAAATTGTTCATAAGGCTTTGTGATATATGCATGGTTTTAGCTGTGTGGCTAGCATGGAACTTTAGCAGCCATGATGGGTTTGTGATGCCTAAAATAATTACTTAGAAAGGGCAATGATAATATAAAGTTCTGAAATAAGGAATTTGCAACTGTTAATAAAAGTAGATCATATTCAGTGCCATTCTAATTGTCTGAACTCAATCTTAATTATTTGGATTGGGCTTTATCATCCAGTAAATGACCTAAAGTGTCTGGTATTCTTTACGAAATGGATGGGATGTGGCCCATAAGTGAGCCCACTCCCTCGACTCATCTTTTCTTTAGTTTTCTTTTAAACATTTTTCATTATTTGTATCTTATTTTGCTTTGCTGCTTCAACTGCAGATATAGTTGGTCCATAATTTGGTTTGCCAAGATCAGTAATCATTTAAGGTTAATTTACTGCAAGATAGTTGAAAGCAATTGATTTAAAGAGTTCTTGTGATCAATCATGCCTAAGTTATGATTTTATGCAAGCATCCTATGGCATTTGTCCTCGTATAAGCACCCTCTTAAGGATGAATAGTAAGTAGCAAATAATGGTTTGTGCATGTTGCCCACCTTCATATGCTTTTGCGTCTTGCATATAGGCTACTTTGGCCTTGTGTGAGATTGTCATGTGAATTATTCTTTGTATAATTCCTGACCTCGAATTCAATGAATATTAGTTTTCCAGTTCAACTTTTTTGGGACGGTCAAGCGGGTCCTCAAGGCGAGCTGCTGTTTCCAGTAGCAGAGAAGTGACCGGTGTTGAGGCAGATCAATCTCGCAGTCGTACCGCAGATGCCAGCCCAGGGACTTTCCGCAAGGTTTCAAGTGCTCGGAGAAGTTCACCAATTGGTTCCATGGAGCACAGGTATACTTCTGGAAGGAATGTATCTACAATAAAGAATTACGAGTCCACGCTGAAAGGAATCGAGGCCCTTAACTTTGACGGCGAAGAAAGAAAGCAGTTATAGTGACTGCAAGTGCCGCTGCAACTTATTTTATGTTTCTCCAGCGCAATTCATGAACTAAAGTAAGAGAACACTTTGTGATGTTTTCCCCCCTGTGAGTGAAGAACAAGTCTGAGACAACTGTGGATGTGAATTGCTGATTTGAGGTGCCTCAAAGATGAAAAACAATTACAAGGTTGGTCTCATCGTCCAAGGAGCTCTTCGTGCATTTGCCCGAACCTAGGTGGCTCCTGTCCTGTGTGGATTGCTGTCCTTTTTTATTTCATTGTAATTCTTGGAAGTTCTTATGCTTTGATTATACATTTCAATCCATCGCTTCCCAAACAATTCCGTTTGGGCTTCTGACCGATTTCTATTATCTCAGGTGCCCTTTCGGCACTGCAGACATTTAGAATAGATGATTGTTCTTAAAACCAGGGTTTATGTGCTTTGCCTTCTATAGCAGATCTTGAATGATCTATCTGCTCTTTCCACTGTCTCGTGTGTAGTTTAACATTGATTCTTTTGTTTTTCTGCATGAGGGTAATTTCGATAGATGTGTTTTTTGCTTCTATCAGTTGACAATTTTAAGGATAATGCTGCTATCGAAGGATGGTTTCTGCTGCTAGCAGCTCGAGTAAATATTTATTCTGGACAAAAGAAATTACTGAATAAATAAATAAATAAAATACTTGAGCATAAATTTCTATCGAGATAGTTTTTTTGAGTAATTAATACATAATAATATATATCGTATTTATGGAGGTCTTGTCAAACTTGGATGATTCTTTTCCCAACAAAGACACTGGCATCAAGGAATCTAAAACAACCCCAACGCTCACTGGGTTAACCTCTACTATTAATTCCCATGCTTTGTTTCCCCTCCTGTGAGTCGCGTCTGTAAATAAACGAGCGAGCGCAGTCTGGGTCTCTCTGCTATCTGCTCTCTCTCCTCTTCCCTCTCTTCTCCACCCATCTTTTGGTCTTGCACGACAACGCAATGCCGTGGTACAAGGACGGCAAAGACTGGTACCACTGCATAGAGTTCGAGTCTCTCCTGCTCACCGTGACCACCGACGACAAGATGGCCATCGCCACCCTCGGCTCCACTTCCTTCATCATCGACGAGGAGGGGGTCGTGGTGGACACTCAGTATACTGTCGAGGTGGTGCACATCCTGGAGAGTGAAAGCTACTACCTGGAGAGCACGCAGGTCTGGCATCATACGTTCGTCGTGGACTGGTATGATTTGGTTGCCACGTTCACCGCTTTGGTGTATGGCAGACAGATCGAGTCTCTAATTCTGAAGCTGGAATCATCTCCACATACCAGTAGTTCTCGGCCGCTCTGGTAGTTTCAGTTTAGTCTCTTCCGATTTCTTCTTCCTCTCTCCATGTCTGTAGGTAATTAGTCCGGTGTAATCTCTTTTGCACCGAGTGTGTCTCCTGCATGGAACCGATCCATGATCGAACATAGTCCATGACCTTCTCATAATTAGCAACATACACAGCTCCGATGATTCTCCTGTTTGCCATAAACAAACGTTGATGCCTCGGGTTTTCTCATCGTCCAATTTTGCTGGTTGGTTTTGCCATGGCGGATTTCGATGGCATCCGACGTCTAAGAAAACTACTACTCGTCACATTCCATGAAGAACCATATTCTTTCAATAAAACAGTTACATAGAGTTCTTCTACAATTCCATGACCAAAAGACCAAAAGAAAGAAGTGAAGATTTCTTCACGATCAAATGAATGTCTAGAAAAAGTACGAAACTAATCAAATGCTTCAGTGATCAGACAAATCTGTAATCAATTCAAAGAACGAAAAAAAAATCGCTGTGCAAAATGTAAGCTTGTATGATACTGTCTGTCAGTGCACCGAAGCTTTGGACTCGCTGAAACATCAGTGATCGGCGCTACCAGCGTCATCACGCAATCTCCTCCTGTGCTTGGGTAGAGTGAGGGAGACGGTGGGGCTTGGGATGCCCATGTAGTGAAGCCTCGGGGAAAGCCTCACCTTGGGGCTTGGTCGAGGAGATGGGATCGGGACTCGGTGGCTACTGTGCGAGGGAGTCACTCTCGGGGAGAGGTTCACGTGCTCAAGTGCCTTAGTCTGGAGATCGACTGGGTAATCCCGCACGCATCCGATTCGAGCTCCGGTAGCGGTTGTCCACTTGCACGGTAAGCGTTGGCCAAACTGCGACGCCACGGCCTTGTCATGCTCTGTGGAATCCCCCATAGGTTCTACAGCCTTTGCCTTCCCAGCCTCCTCAGCTGCGGCCTCCACATCATTGGCACGCTTTCTAAAGGAAGGGTGCTCATCATCGTCGACCGAACATTTCTGTGAATCAAGACATCGTTCATGAAGTTTTGGCAGCTAAAATTGAGCCGCGAGTATGAGGCAAGGAATGTTTACCTTCACATTGCTGAGGTCTACATTGTTGTCCTGAAGGAAGATGATGAATTCCCTGAAGTTTTCTTCTGTCGGGAGGTAATGACCACTGTATGGCCATATGGCCTGAAGAAGAAGAAGAAGAGCAGCACAAAGAGAAATAACCTTTGATCAAAACATGTTCCTCGATCAATCAGCTTCATTAAGGCGTACGATGCATACCTCCAATGCCCCTTCTGCAGCAACCAATCTTCCAGCTGCTGTTATGGCTCCACCAGCCAAAAAACTGGAGTGCTGGAACGTGCCTTTCTTCTTCTGCTCAGGGAAGAACATGTCATGATGTCAAACAAGAACTCAAGGCGTATGAAGAATAGGTAAGACCAGCTATAAAGAGATTGGCATATACCTGACCCACATACAGTACTCTCGAGGTGCTGAGGACAAATATCCACTTGGAGCCTTCCTTGGTACAGACAGGCATTTCAGTTTGTTTATAGAGAAGCTTTCCGTTCTTCACGATGACTTCATATGCTTCTCTCTCTTTCTGCTTACAGGGATAGAAACCTTCATCAGAAGACTTGTTCTTTTTGTCATCATCAATAGAAACACGAGAAACTTAGATAAGGCCAAGTTGCGTACTGGTCCAAGGTATTTGATGCACTGGCTTTGAAGCTTGCTTCTGGGGCACTTTTCAAGGTTCATCTCCCTTCCGTCACCAACATCCAGCCTTACCATGCGCGAGGAAAGCCAAAAGGAAAGGATGTCAGCGCTGAGAGTCTCCGAACGATAACATGCCATGCGTGCTTCTCATACTTACCAGTAAAAGAATGGTTGGGTGCTCTCACTCTCGAACCAGACATCATAATAGTAATGCAGATTGTGCCCATACCGATGCCGTGGATCGATCTGTGCAATGAAGTCTCTTAGTGCCCTGTGTTTCATTCTGAGCTGCACAACTTAAAGAAGATGCAAAGAAGGAATCTTACAGCTTCCAGCCAGTGCTGTAGTGCTAGCTTCTGAGCCTTTTCATCTTTTGACAACCCCTTGCCAACCTGAGGAGGATGGAAATATATGTACACATATCTCGATTTGACTGCAGGAAATAGAAGCAAACTATAGAGATGAAATAGATGATCTCGTTACCTTTGCTGCTCTGGTTCTTGCCCTTGCCCATCGCGAAACTGCAGTCTCTGGTTTTTCGACCTTGAAGAATGACACAGAGCTATGTTCCAGAGATGCAAAGTCTAACGCCTTCCACCTGCGGTCGAAGGAAATGAAATCAGAGGAAGTCTTTCGTGAGGTACAACATCTGGCAGAACGGTAGGAGACGAACCAGAGCTCCTCAACCACGACCGCGCAATCTGCAAGATTTCTTCTGGTTCGGTAGCTCTTGTACACCTTCTGCAGCTTCGTGGCAGCTGCGTCAAGCTCACTCAAAGGCCTCGGAGAAGAGAACTCGAAAGGGCACTGCGGGACTGCAATCTTCATGGTGCTCTCGAACGAGCCTTGTGCTGTTTCGTTCCCATCCGTGACTTCATTCTTGAATGATAAGGCCGTTTCTTGTTCCCATCCTTTGAAGCTTAATGACTTCTCCATCGCCGAGGTATCGGTTACCTTTGACACCATCTTTTTCGATGAATCACTTCGTTTGAAGCTGAGTGATCTCAGGGTCATCTTCACGTCCTTCTGATCACCAAAGCTGATAGATCTCACCAAAGCATCTGTCGTTTCCGGCAACCCAAATATTTTGCTCCTCATGCATTCAATCCAACCCCAGGAAAGCAAGGAAAGGGATAAACCCATCGAATCGACCCCTGTTCTCGATCACAGAATATTACCCTGTCAAAAATGTATCACCAACTATACCACAAAAAGCTCCTTGAAACGAAACCTATAGCAGAGGTAGCAGATGCAACAAGGGGAGAAGAACAAGTTCCGATCGATGTTACCTGATCAAACGGAGGAAAAGAAAAAGCTTACAGCTGCTTGTCCACAATCTCTGACCACTTCCTCCCCTTGATTTATAAAGGCACAAGATTGCCATAGCAGTTCTTCGTCCTTGGTAGTCTTCTAATGAACTGACCGCGTTATCGTGGAAATCGAAATGGGTTGGGAGTTGAATTTGCAGAAGAACGACAAGGCTGACGACCACAGTTTTCCTCCGTCGTAGAATGGAAGGAGGATAGTACGAGAAGGATTCAAATCTCGTCTCCGTGAGAGATCACGGCACTGCACCTTCAAAGAAGCCGACGATTCTAAGAAGTCAACGTGCATCAACAATACTGCTAGATATCTTACAGCGTCATCTCGCACGGACCCTTTCATTCATTCTGAAGCTCACGTGATAGTCACGTGCGCACTAGAGGCCACCATCGCCACCGTTCATCCATTGGTTTCGATGGCACGCAGAGACGTCGACCGATGTTTTCTGCTTGGGCCGTGCAATACGGTGTGCTATGGTTTGTGCCGCTTCAAAACATTCGACCCTTATTTTTATGGATGAATGGGATGTAACCAAATCTGATCTCTTGATTGTTAAGTGGGTATGATTTGGAAATGCAGATTGGAAGTCAAACATAGCATCTAACACATGATCAGTCATTTACATATGCCGATTGGAGAATGATGGAGATCAATTGAGTGTTTAATGAACCACATATGCGTCTATTCCCAGTATTTTGATGTTGATATATACTGACATAATGTGCTGTGTGAGATACAGAATATTTCCTGTGGATAAAGCGAATAAAGGGAGAAAATAAAACGACGACGGGGTGTGTGAAAGATACGAGGGAGACGGGTCAAAGAATGGACGATCCAATCGTCAACGTTCGCCTGCGCATGGGGGGTTGACCGTTGACTAGATGCGGCATCCGTGTGCCGCGTGTGCCGCGTAGGACGCAGACATGTCTCCGGTTATCCATGAATCTGAAGTACGCCGGATGGAGACTGTGCGTCGACACGATCGGCTGTCACGACAATGGTATCGAACATGTTTGGAACGAACATCTATTCCTGATCATGCGTTTATCACGTCCGTTGATGCTTAGTCTCTTTCGACAGATTGTCATGCAGTACAAGTAAAAATAAGTAGATCTAATTTATGTCTCATCATCTTCTGTTATATTTTCATCACATTCATAAATCTCGCTCCTACTACGATGAACATTTGAATGTTAGATAGATCTATTGATCCTCCTCTCGCAAACAAACGAGTCAACAGTTCTCCATCAAGATACGCTTACAGAAAGGTCAACGATGTGTGTGACTTAGTACGACTACTGCATGTTGGCGATCAAACACGAGAGACTGCTTTCTCATTGGGTGTCAGCTGTGGGTCTCTTTAAATGGATTGATCTTACGTGATTCCTTCGATTCCAACGTTGAAACCAAAGGATGACAATCTCATCAGGGCTGTAGAATTTTCATATAAAACCAAGTCAGATTCAAGATCAAAATTCTAAGTAAAACCAGCTAAGCTGTAACCTAATTTGACCACACGTTCTCACGTCCAGACCAAGTCACAAGTCATAATCTCATCAGTCCTACTTGTGTTGGTCTAACGTATGATGTATCATCATGCTTGCACGATACAGAGAGAGTGTCTTTTGGAGGTTCATCAATGACTTATTCACCTCGTCATGATTGACATAAAATGTTGCAATCCTTTGGTTTCGTCCATGACAAGTCATCCACGTACTTCTGCAGATAAAGCTGTCATCCATGAAGGAACAATTCTGCCGAAGGCTCATCTGGAAGCACGTTGACCATGACGTTCATGAGATTATCCATTAGACTTGTCTAACAGCGCTTCTACAAGCATGCATGCGTGCATAGCTGCGACGATTTCCCAACACTTGTGGAGACTCGGTCGTTCTTTGCGGAACTTTTACCGCAGCTCTGGACCGAGAACCACTGTGTTGACAGGATTCGATGTTTTCTCTTCTTTATTGGTAGCATATATTCTGCAAGGGAAAAGAATAGAATTCCAATAATAAAATGACACATATTCTGCCTCCCAAGGAAGCTTCATCGCAGCTGCTTTGGCAAGAGACTTCGATGTGCATCACTTGTTCTTCGATGGTAGCAGCTCCGTGGCATAGATTCCGGTTGAGGATCCTCCTTTACTTTCAACATTAGACCACTAATCTATTTGAATGGAAGCCGTCTCCAGCATTGTTCAACTTGGAGTTGCAGTCTTTGTCGTCTTTCTAAGGGTGTAGTCTTTGTCGGATGCTGCTTTGCAGCTCGAAAGAAGAAGTTTGACAGAGTAAACGGATTAGCCTCACACGGAGGAGGCGGTAAAAGGTGAGGTTGTAATCTTGCAGACTATTGGTTGGTCAATGGGGAGTCTTACGTATGGATCGCCTCTCTCTCTCTCTCTCCGTCTCGTAGAAGAGCCAGTTTTGGCTAGCAGAGCCTTGAAGAGGGGGCGAAACATGAGGGCAAGGGAGAAGCAAAATGGGTGGATTGAAGAGGAGGCAGGGACGCAGCGTGCCTCCTCTTCTGCGTTCCCCCAAGAAGCAAGGAGATGAGTCGGTTCGTTCGTCGAACGGGTGGTGCGCGTCGGCCGTTCCGGCGCAGGGACAGCTCGAGAGTTCCCAGATATTTCTAAGAATGGATCCGGGCCGTTTCTTGGGCCGAAAGCTTATTGGAGTCGATCCGTGGAAGCCCATTCATTACAAGCGTCTTTAAATGGACATTACCTCTAATGTCTCGAAATTAGCCCATCATACAAAACATTACAGGCCCTCTTCTTCTAGGGTTTCTCTGGTGGTGCCTCTGCTTTGAAGTTTCGAATGGGTGATTACTATTTACCATCCGGTCTTTACTATTTATAATTTTATTTTATTTTTTAAAATATTTTTAAAATATGCCTTTAAATATATATAAATATATATATTATTTATTTTTTCCTTCTTAAAGAACGACATCAGTAGGAAGTTAAAAAAAGGATAAAATCTATAATAATAAGTTTACAAGATTATAAGTAGTAAAATAATATTTTATTATTTAGAAAAAAAAGGTATTAATATCAAGTAGGTGTGAATAATAAATAGGGGACTTTGAATAGTAGATTTCTTCTAATATTATTATTTTTATCTAATACTTAAAATACCTCAGTTGCATATCTTATTTTCCCGAATTGATCTAATTATAATATTTTTATAATATTTTATCGTAACTGAATCAGTTCACTATATATATATATAAATATATATGCGATGTTGCCCAGTTAATAGACGGGTGATAGGACTACTCGACTGACAGGTTCCAGCGCACCGAGGTTTAGTGAGGGTTCGCCGAAGGATTCCAAAGCGGAGTTGCCGAGGAGGAGAAGGCGGAGGTGGAGGAGGATGAGGGAGCGAGGAGGGAAGGCGACGGTGGACGAGAGGTACACGCAGTGGAAGTCACTCATCCCCGTCCTATACGACTGGCTCGCCAACCACAATCTTGTGTGGCCTTCCCTCTCCTGCCGGTACTTCGCTCTTCTTTTTCTCCTTCCTTCGTTTCCTCCCTTCTCTTCCTTCTTTGGTTTCTGGGCCGTGGCTAGGGTTTTTTCGTATCGGAGCTCGTCCTAGGGTTTCGCATGTTACATCCTAGGGTTTCACGTCCTTTCGGTGCTCGATCGTGTCGTGAACCCGGATCCGTGCTTCTCCCAGACTAAGATGACTTAGGGATCAAGATCTACGGAGAAATACATGTGAATTGAGAAGATTTCTTGTGCATTTGACCTTTTCCCTTCCGTCTCCTGTTTCTACGGTGCCCCTGTCTGGCGGAAACAACTGGAGGGTCTCGCATTTTGGGATTTTGGCAATTGGTTTGGTGTAACAATCTCATATATAACTAAATCAGCAACCTTTTCATATTTTCTTTATAAATTAGGGATAATGCAAGAATACGAGGGGATTTTGGTGTATGCATCGTCTTGATGAACAAGTGACTGATTTCTTTTCCTTCATACACTTCACTGTAGCTGTTCGCCTATATTTCTTTCTTCTTTGTAGGTGGGGGCCACAACTTGAGCAAGCAACATACAAAAATCGCCAGCGTTTGTACCTCTCCGAGCAGGCAAGTGAATCGAGATCCTTAGCATTTACTATTAGTTTGGCTGGTAATGCAATTCATCCTTGCTTTGGTGGAGCAACGAATATTGCATGTGGCCAAAGCCTGTTGTTGATCCATCTACCTGCAAGATGACAAGTATTTGCCACTACTTGTGGCTTAGAACCATATTTTCTGTTGTGCAAGAGTGTGCAGTTTTGACTGCATTTCTTGTCATTTTGGGTTTCCTTGATGTGTGTCATGTTAGGTCCGGTAAATTTTATATTCCAAACATGTAAAACCTTTCATCAGAACTTATTTCCCGTTGCACTTTTAGCAGTAATCCTCTATGATGCCATTGCGACACACTAAATATCTTTAGGGCATGACCTGGATCACATGTGACAACAGACAACTTTTTCCATTAAATATGTAGTGGTCTATGCATCATCGAACACCATCTTGAGTACAAAATGCTATCGTTACCGAGAATGATATAATATGAATGAATAAATAATCTAACTAGAGAGCATGGATGGAGTTTGTTTCATCCCTTAAGAATTTGCTTACAACAATAAGAACATTAACAACAGCAAGCTGTGATGTTCGAACTGGAGTTCTGACACAGTTTTAAGGTTCATATAAACCAATGGAGATTATTTTATTTACAGTCGATTATGTGCAATTCCTGACTGATGGAGTTGAACTGCAATTGGTTTTCTATAGTATCTTAGCACCAAAGCTAAGATCTAAACCTAATAATTGAATCGATAAATTTCCAACAGAATAAAGATTCAATCTTATTCCCTAATGTATGAAAATTTCGTGTCAAAGATTTCTTTTAATCTTCACTTTTTCTAATTATGATTAATCTTAGTTATTTAAATGTTAATTCCGC